GCCATAGTAGTTTATCTGGTTTTCCAGCATTCTTCTAAATATCTTCTTTGTGTGTTCAACAGAATAAAAAAACTCAGGAAACGAGTAAAGAGAGAGTAAATCTGGGTGAACTGTCCCTTTAATAAAGAGAAAGCTGATGCGTGAGAATGGCTGATTTCCTCTGATTAGTCCTGATAAAACTAATCAATCTTCTGATTATATTATTATGTGCATACAGCACTCCTCAACAAAGCTCTCTGTTACAGAAATGAGAGCCGCTGAGAGACTGGTGTGTGTGTATTAGTTGTGTATTGTGTTTGTGTGTGCGTGTGTGTGTGTGTGTGTGTGTATGTCTGTTTGTGTGCGCGTGTGTGTGTGTGTGTGTGGAGTGTGTGGAGTGTATTCAGTGTATTCAGTTATCTGGAGGCTTGTCTCTGTTTGATAGTCCTCCAGAAAAAAGCTTTGCATTACTGGACTGGATCGATATCTGTTTGCTAGTAGAGAAAGAGAGAGAGACTGAAGACTAAGAGTCCTGCTCTGTTCATCTGATTAGCAGGAGGCTCATATTCGTGTTGTTTCTGACTCTCGGGTTATTGAGTTTGCAGGTGTTGTTTGATTTGGTTTCAATTAGCTGAAGTTCTGCATAACACACTTCTCTCTGTGTAAAATGAAAGTCTCTAAGCAACAACATCTGCTCTTTCTCTATGATCCCTGAGTGTTACAGTATGTTTGAGAGCGATATTTTTCTCAAACTGTACTGTAATGTACTGTAAATGACTTTATATTTTGTGTGTGTTTTTAGATTTTAAGTTTTGTGTTCTTTACTACTACTATGACTACTAATAATGACAATAAACATTTTATTTATTTATTTATTTATTTACTTATTTATTTATTTATTTACTTATTTGTTTTCTAATCAATAATAATAATCTTTATTATTGTAGTTGCTGTTGTTGTTTCTTAGCATTTAATTTAACATTTGTTTTATTTTTTTTTATATGTTATTTTGTACTATATTCTTTACTAATGCAACTACAAAATTATAATAAGATAATAATAATAATAATAATAATAATAATAATAATGTTTTCATTTACTATTTACATATTATTATTATTATTATTATTATTATTATTATTATTATTATTATTATTATTATTGCTTGTTACTCATTACTTATTTTATTTATTTATTTATTTAATTTTATTTTTTTTGTAAATGTATTTCTTTATTGTTTCTCGAAATGCACATTATTGATTTGTCTCCATAAACAAAGTGCCATTAGGTTAATGGGCAGGTCATTGTATTATCATGCACCCCTGTAAGCGTATCAGTTAATTAGTCAATTGTGATATCTTTTCCTGTCATTCACCTTCCTCTCCGCACTGAACAGATCAGACCAGGTTCGCTCTCTACAAGTGCCGGAGTCTGTTCGATTTCTCATCAAGAGCAGCACAATAGCATGTTCTATTAGAGCGCAAGTTTATTAGGCTTGAAGTTCATTACAAAGGAGTTGAGCAGCCAGTGGATCCATTAGAGCAGAAGTCAATCACAGCGGCAGCGAGTCCATTAGATCCTTCAGTCATTAAAGCTCGTCCTGTTAGCAGATCACAGAGCCTTCACAGACACTGATGCACACCGTTTATTTCTGCATTATTATAATGCTGAATGTGTCTGTCAGCTCTCTGGAATACTTGATTCTGGTCAGATCTGGCATTCGGTTATCAAATATGAAGGGAATGTAGAGGAAGGAATGTTTTATTGTATATGTGTATGTATTGTACATGTATTTACAAAGTAATGTATCTTGTTTGTATATAAACAGTAGGGCAGCTTAAAGACGCCTCTCATATGGAGAAATGAATTCACATGCATCGCTCAGGTATGAGATTTTCAACAGATTGTAAAAATATTGATGGTTCTGTGGGTTTGGTCTATCAAATCTGAGCTTTAATTTGTATTTTCTATTGGATTCAAGTCAGGTGAATGACTGGGCCATTCTACAGCTTGATTTTCTTTCTCTGAAAGCATTTGAGAGTTTCCTTGGGTGTGTTTTGGATCATTGTCTGCTTAAATGTTCACCCT